CATTGCTTTTTAAAGCCAGTCTGGTTCCAAGACCAAAGAATTCCGAGTATTCGGACAAATCCTAGGTCAGGTGGGGCCGCGGCACGTGACCAAATCGGACAGGATCCTTCCTGTTTCCAATTAATGTCTTACGTTTTCCGAATACTTGTTCGTTGAAAGTCGGACGTATTAGTGCTAGCTCGGGTATTTCCAGGTATAAAATGATTTTCCTTTACCAACAAAAAATACGTATCGTGTTTGTTATCAGTCCTAAATAAATGAGTTTATAATTTAATTCAACAACGGTATTTAAGAATGTCCATGGCAGGTGTGCTGTATTAAGTGACCATTTAGACGTTGCGCCTGCACTTAAGTATTCACTCAAATGAGTGCTGGACTTTGCTGCATCGTGTTCTGTTTTAATGTGACGGTTTACCTGACCTGATATCTATTAAGAGACGTTAAGATTGTCTAGTCACGGAACCAGACTTTTCTTGTTAACCCCGCGAGGCACCATGATACCTGGAAAAATAGAAGAGCTGAAACTCACAGCTCTGGCTTTATGAGGAAAGATATTTGTCCCCATGCCCGAAGCGTAGGACCTTGTCCTAGATCGAATATTTGTCTTTCCCTGCAGTCTTTGTGAAAAACACTTCACATTAATTCAACTGAGGGCAGCAAAAGCGACTGAGGGCGCTGTTACTTTGAAAGTCAATCCTCGGCTGAGACCTTATACATTTTGTAAATGTGCACCGCAAGTTTACACGGAAAGGGGTTCAACGAGGAATTTATTGGAAACAATAAACTGCGTTACTGCGCCGTACAGCAAGAATTGGATAAGACATCTTGGAACGGCATTCCGAGCTGAATCAGTTTCTCGTAAATACCGAATTCAAACTTGATTTTTTTTCGGAGAAACAAGCACCCAGTGTTACAACAGAAGAGACAACCACAACGAGCTAGGATAAGGAAGTAATCTACAATATTTTTTTTTACGGAAGACTCCTATGCCAAGAAATCTGCATGTCAGCATGTCGGCTTGCTCGTTGCCGTATTATAGCTCCCTCCCGATCAGTCTAGCAAGCTATTTCCAGTATTGTAGTCTGAAAAAAGTTCTGCGTCATTTTTCCAGGTCATAATAATTTTTTTGGTGTGTCAAAATGACATTTTACCTGGTGAAATGGCTCTGAAATGTGAGATGTATCATTTTGACCTGGAAACTTGTCAGTTAAAATCTGACCCGGATCCGGGTCGAATGTGACCCTGGACCTTTTGAGTGTATAAAAGCAAACCTGTCAGCGTTCGTGGGGCATACTAAAAAAATGTGCTTTATTTCATCGAATCAGCGAATGTTTCTTTTACTTCAGGAAATTGGGGCTCGACTCCAATGAAAGTAAAGCCTGCAGTGTGCTTACATTTTTCTTACTTCATTTGCGTTGCTGCTTGTCCTTTGATTGTGTATTAGAAAAATGTTCGTACAAACTAGTTTGGTGTGTATCTGTCAAAATCACGATCAGATTTAGCAAAACAAAATGTCCAGTTTTGTTTTCAAATTAAAAACATGCTTAACTTCGGCAGAGTTGAGTTGTTATTTGTTTTTAAATGAAAGTGGAAAGCAAGACACTTCAGAATGGTATAGCTTTAAGACGTTTCTTGGAGCCCTCTGGGATTCAAGCACCTTTTCCAGTGACTAAAGTGCTGTAGCACTCGGCTCATCAAGGGCCTATCGGACTCTTTTGAAGTAGACTTTTAATGGTGCTCAGTCTCTGCAGCCAGTGTAGAGTGGTAGCTCCGGTTTCGCTTTTAGCAATAACTAAGACCTTCCTAATCAAATTTAAGGAAAGCAAATCCCAGATTTCTGTCTCCAGGCACAGGTCTCACCGATTCTTCTTCTTCTTCATTTCTATTTTTTTTCTTCAGAAAATGACTTTCTTGAAATTGGGAAAACGGCTGCGCATGGTGTGTGTGTGTGTGTGCCTCCTCAGGGTACTTTTTTTCTATCTCGCAGGGATCGTATGAAAACTTTCCTTGCAGTAAAAAAAGCCATGTTTAGGCTCCTAATGTTTTCTCCAATGTCCATCTCATTTTTTGTTTAATCTTAAACTTCAAACAAACCCCAGACATAAACTGACGTGGTAAAATTTATTTATATTAGGTTGAAGAGAGAAATTGCGATTAGCAAATTTGAGGTATGGCCGCCACAATAGGAGGGCGCTGTTTGGTTTGGGTAAAAGACTTGACCCAAATCAAACAGCGCCCTCCTATGGTGTCTGACACACACCTAGGGGCAAGTTCGCGCAAGAACTATTGTTGACCATTGGTTAACCATAGTTCGACTAAAGTTAGCCCGAACTCTGTCTAGTCGACGGTGGCTGACTACGCTAGTCGACTATTTGGAACCAACTTTCTGGGGTTGGTTGCATCGCTGGTAACCAATAGCCGCGCGCTATAACGCACAACAGGGAGCCAGGATCCAGAAGTTTTGCGATGATATTTTGACCAGCGCTTGACTAGAGACGTTCGCACGTTGCAATTGGTGCGCAAGCGTAAGGTACGTCACAAATGAACCACTGGTCGACTAATGGTCCTTGCCCGAACTTGGCCTAGGTTTATGGGCAGAATTTGAACCTGCGATTTCCAGAACGCCATACCGACGCTCTACCGACTTAGCTATCTCACTTATCTACCATATCGGCGGTCTCTTAAGTCAGCATCCTAACATTTCACAAGGGGAGCTAGACATCATAGGACAAAAGTATGGCGAGCAAATTCAGCTTTTAAGGCCCCCAAAAAGTCTTTGGTTTCTGGTATGGAGCTTGCCCCAAAAGTGGTGCGGCGAAGTGGCTTTTTTGTTTTTACTTTTTTTCCGTCAAATATCGGCCGAAGACTGCAAATGGTGCCCGACCAAATTTAGTGCAAAATGTATCGGAGCCCAGAGAGACCACATAAAGCTTATACTCGACCGTAACCCCATCTAAAAACACGTTAAAATTATGCAGCAGCAGGATTCCAGTCAAACCAGTTAGTTTGGCGGTTTTGAGACATCATCTCACATTGAAAAAATCTTTTTAATTTTGCCGACGCGCATGGCTACGGCGACGCGCGCGCAGACCAGAAACCGGAGCCTTTTTTTTGCCTTATACAGAGATTTCTCTATTTGCAGACATGCCAAGTTAACGTTCATCCCGAAATAATCTTTATTTCTAAACAGATATCTGTAGACCTATTTGAAATCGATATATCTCTTGTCTTCATTGTCCAAGAGTACATGTGAGGAAAAAAACACAAGCTTGTCAAGTGGAACTCAACCCACGACCACCTGCAAATTAGAGTAGGGCTTAGCTGTGAGGACGATCCATCACTATAGCCCCTTAAATAGCGCCCTCTATTGTAAATATCTTTGCGAGCAGCACTCTTCTAGTACGGGGGACCGCAGTTTTGTGCATTTGTTTTTTCCTGAAAAAGAACTTGTCGATCCTGCCCACGACTCTAAATCGAACACGGTCGTGAGTAACGTAAAGGTGATAGTGATGGGCCCTTAATAGTTCACAGATGAGACATGATTATCTACGAATGTAATTCGACTAGGATATTAGATAACCGTTCCGCTGAACCACAACCTCTAGATAGATGGTTGATCAACGAATCGGGGAACGGGGCCCTGTAACATGGTGACAAAATGGTCCCACTTGCGGTGCTGCATGCACTGACTCTGTGTTTATTTGATATATACAACTGAAGCCATTTTCTGTCCAAATATAAAAGGTTGTCGCAACCGTGACCGGATGAGGCTAAAGTGATCTTTTGACTTCATTTTAGTAGCTAAAATCGCTTTCTGTCTCTTTCTATGCCTATTCGTTCTTAAAATGTCTGCATGATTTGAAGAAAAGGTGAGGTAAAATTACTAATTTGCCTCTGAAAAAGATTATGTTAAGATCGCGTGAGCCTCTGGCCCTCGTATTGATTTGTACAAACAGTGTCTGCAGTCCGATATCGATTAATGCAAGGACCACAATAACACCATATGCATTATGCGTTAAGGAGGAACTAGAGGGCAATTGTTTTGCATCTCATGAATAGGCATGAGTAAACCTCTCGCGCGTACACCCTCTGAGATACCTCAGTGCGCGTGAATGTGAGCAAGATGGTCGTATGAGTATTGAGTATAGGCGCGTATTGCGTGTGAGCGTTGTACCATCTCATACAATGGGTTCTGATTGTAGTCGCCGGATAATGAAAGACCTTTGTGCGACCTAACTGAGATCAGTTTTTATTATTTTAATTCAGTGACAACAAATTTGCATAGTACCAATTCATGCGCACCACAGAGAAAAAACACGTTTCCTCAGATGTAGCGGCAAAAGCCGCAAGGAGTATACTGAACTTAATTAGGGTAAAGTATCTAGCTTGTGGACACGGGCATGAAGACCACCCTGGGGCCAAATCGTAGCCTCGATTTCAAGGCTGATATACCAGAGCTGACACATGAATCTGGTACAACACTCACCGACGATTCAAGTGGGCACCGCTTCACTAGAATTGTGATCCAAAATAGACAGTTCGCGAATGAGATAGAAACACTTCAGAATGGGTTTGCTTGCCTTTTGCTAGATCGGTTTGAAATGATAGCACATCAAGATCTATGCGAAGAATAACATTCCCGAAGGGACACTCAAACCACGCGTTTATTTCTCTGAGATCTTCTAGTTACAACTTGGTTAAATTTGTATTCTTATCAAATATACTACAACAAGTATAGACTTGTTCAATTCAGTTCAGTTTATTTCCACAGTACCAAAATATCAACGACAATGACAATGAGAATCTTATAGAGAATAGCAGATTTTTTTTGGAATAAAGTCGAAGATGAGCAAACAATAAGTGTGAAAGATACTTTGGAGGGGCCATAAAGAAGCAAAGCTTGTTAGGAATGGGCACCTGATCATGCATGTGCATTGAGCCGAGTTGATGATATTTTTTTTTTTGGGGGGGCATTCTTTTTTCTTTGGGGGGGGGGGGGGATTAGTTTTGGAAGAAAAGATTGTTTGCAAGAAAACGAGTGTGCAAGAAAACGAGAATTCGTAATCGGACCAATACGTATGTAAAAGCTCCGTTCGCTGTTCACGATGAGTTCATGACCACTTTTCAGATGATAGGTTCTCGTGTAGTCTGTGATAATAACCCTTGCATTATTTCAATTTATTATCAATTTAGTTATTATACCAATTCTGGCTCCCAATCCGTTATCGATCTATTTATATCTCACTTTTTCTCCCTCAACTTCAGCAGATACTTCTGCTACACTTATTGATATTTTTTTTAATCAAATATTTGATCCTCTCCCAAATTCGGTATTTTACTCTCCGATATTTCAAATCACTTGCCAATCATTCTTTTTATTCCGTCTCTTAATTCAAGTGCTTCACATAGTCACAATAATATTTCTTATTTTACTTTGTGATTCTTGAAATGAGAGCCTTGTAAATGTTATGGATGAGTTGCACTCTTTTGACTGGGCTAATGTTTTAAGTTGTAATCATAGCATATAATACAATTCTGGATAATTTCAATTATCAAAAAGACAAATAAGTTTCAATTAGTTTCAAAAACTTTTGTTTTACACCCTGAAACAGGTAAGCCATTGTTGAAAACAATTTGTTTTTTTCACAAAATTATGAATTCAAAGCGATATGCCCATTTTTATGTCTAACATGAATATATATAGTATATAATAAAATTGTAAAATTACTAAACTAAATCATACAGTTGGTCTTTAAATTCGCAGGAGTGAAATATTTTTTGAAGTGCTAGAAGTTGTACTAATTTTAGTAGATCTATGCAAATAGACTTAATTAAACCCGCGCATGCGTTGTAAAACAATCACAACCGGGCTTAAACGTAAATTTGAATATTTTCAACAGTAAAAGGCATACATTTTTATGTCCGTTAATTAACTCAAAAACACGTCAGCTTAGGGAGGGCGGGGCTTAGATCACTCCTCCTTTCCCCTTCTTGATACGCCATTGTTGTAGATCCAGGCTCACTCGGCATCGATGTGGATGGTAAGGCTATCTGCCCTTCCAACTGGTCCACCACCTGTGGGGATATAAGCATACCAAAGCACACTATTAAAGTATAAAATCTTCACCTTATAAATATTGACTACAATGTAGACTATTCCTATGCTTTATCAGACCTGCAACATGACATTATGTTGATGCTCGAACACCTTCTGCATCTATTTATCATAACGGGCGCCGCCAGGGGTGGGGTGAGAGGTGACACCCAAGCCTTTCAGTACTCATTTTTTGTAGGCAAAATTATTGTTTCTGTCGGCAAAAATTGTGTCTGTTGAAAATGATGCGGCAACGAAAGCGCCACGTGTCGGAAGGGGTCCCAGATGGTCCGCTTTGAACGGCGCCCCCAAAGTCAGTTAGTGTCCACCAACAGAGCAGTTTATGAACGAAACTAAGTATAATGTCTCCAATTAACGACGTTGAATTTGAAAATGGGGTGTGGTAGGGGGTTTGTGCACGTACATTATCAATCAAATGGAGCAATTTGCCGACTTTGCTGACAAAAAACGACCGATGTGGTGGGGGTGACATGTGGGAGGGAAGAGGTATGAAATCAAGGGCGGATACCGGCTTTTATAGTAATCTGATAATACATAAGTCCGCTTTAACTCGCAGACTAGTAGTACCCTTTTCTCACCGTTTGATAGCACGTCGTTCCACAACACCTTGTGGTTGGTTGTGCTGTAGAGTATCATTGGGTAGGGATGTGCTTCCGTTTGTCCCTCCCATCCACAGTAGTTAAGCGAGTCAGACTCGGTCACAACCAGCCAGCCTTTATCCCCCTCACATCCACCATAGTGGTTGTTGATGAAAAACCGCCGATCCCTATGTTTTATGACAATCGGGAGATAGAAGCAAAGAACTAACTTAATAGCCACTCTACCCATCAAAGGCTGGGGTAACCACCTTCACTCTAAAATAAAACAGCCAGGTCAGAGAGTTGACCCGGAATCCGTATTCTATTTGACCTGATACTTTTCAGGGTCAAAATGACACTTTTATGGTCGAAAATGACGCGGACACTGATCCAGAGAAGTGTCATTCGGACCAGGAAAAGTGTCATTTTGGCCCTGGAAAGTATTAGGCACGCAAATAAATCTGGCCAGGATTTTGTGTTAGATCGTAGCTCGCGACTACGTAAACCATGGGTTACTGTGATTCAGTTAAAATCATTCAATTCTTAAACAAAAAACCCCCACTATATATCAATGAATTATAAACTTATGCCCAAACCGAACTGATGATCAGAAGATTGACAACAAGAGAGCTGTAATCAAGCCCATCTGAAGTCCCGTCTCAAGTCATACACCGTCTCAAGTCATACACCGAGGGGGCGTGGCCAGAGTGTTTAGATCAACATTTTTCAAGGGGAATGGATGAGGCGTTGCAGTCAACGCATAGAAAAACAAAACGCCTGAAGCAATGACTTAAAACTGGCAACACTGAGTGGCGGTGTTCAGGGAACAAAGAAGGATTAGTCCCGTCTCACGTCATATCACGATATCATGAGTCAATCACGCATCAAGTCACCCATACGGTAACAATTACTTAGACCCAATTTTGGACAAGATCGTGACCGACTGGTCCAAAGCACCAAACTTGGCAGATATATTGTTATAGCCCTAGAGAAGATATTTAGAAGGGGTGACACCTGAAGTTCTTTTGGGAAGGGTGCCTAATTTGCATAAATCGTTAATCCCTACCGTGTAATATATTTTATTCCCATATTTGAGGATATGTTTAATTTTTTTTTTTTGAAAAGTATATTTTGGTGATTCCACTTACACATCCTTTCTTCAATAACATTTTCTAAAGCATTTAAGACTGACTGGATAATTATGAGGACACCATAACGATCCAAAATGGCTACTATTATACTCTAAAGTTGCGCGCATTAACCTTGTCTCCAGATATCATCAAGTAGTCTTGCCAAACCTTAGTACTGATGAGCTTCAAATTCACGAAATTGCTTACTGGCACAGTTACTCGATTAAGTCTTCATGGATAATCATGTGAACAATGATAACATTGAGATATTAAGGCCAGAAAACAAAAACGGGGAACTTGATCAAGTCCACCACAATAGGCAGGCTTCGCCTAGTTTTAGCCCAATTTACGGGCACCTCATTTCCCCCCTTTTTGTTTTTGTGGGCTAAATATCAAGATGATATAATTGTTCACATGATTTCCCATTTATTTTTGTTAGGGTAACTGTGTCAGTAAGTAATTTTGGGAATTTGAAGCTCATCAATACTGAGGTTTGGCAAGACTACTTGGTGATATCTGAAGGAAAAGGAATGCGCGCAACTTTAGGGTATAATGGTAGCCATTTTGGATCTTTATTATGTCCTTATAATCTTAGAGGCTCCGATATGCTTCAGAAAATGTTATTTAAGTAAGGATATGTAAGTAAAATCCCCAAAATATGCTTTTCAAAAAATAACAAAAATATACATCTACCCAAATATGGGAATAAATATATTACACGGCAGGGATTAACGCTTTATGCAAATTAGGCACCCTTCCTAAGATAATTTCAGGTGTCACCCCTCCTAAATATCTTCTCCAGGGCTATAAGAAGCCAAGTTTGGTGCTTTGGACCAGTCGGTCACGATTCCTACCATATGCCACCTGACTATAAGAGGTAGTGGCGGATGGGGGATTTTCCATAATGGGGGCGTGGCTGGAGTGTTTAGATCCAAGATTTTCCAAGGGGGATGGATGAGGCGTTGCAATCAACGCATACAAATACAAAAGGACTGAAGCAATGAATTAAATATTGCAACATTGAGTGACTACAATGTTCAGGGATTTCTTTTTTGCGTTTCACGCATTTTGTTCGTTTCCGATAACACCACTCAAAAGTCAAAAACAGAATGTTGAAGTTTCGGCTCAGTGGAAATTACACTTTTCGAAGAAAAAAACAGTGCAAAACCATGCACACCGTTTGGATCACGAATCACGATTTTGTCTTCAGCACTCTTTATTTCCAAAATTCAGTCAATTGACTGATCGTTGGAAATCACCTACATTTCTTGATTTTTTCTAAATGAAAGCAAGCCAGATATCAGATGGAATAATTTCACGGGGTGTTTAGAACCAGAACGATCTTTTAAATCCAAGTAAGCTTTTTGATCATAATTCGATAGGTTACTTTTGGGATATTGTAAATGATCCTATTATTATGCCTTTAGATGAATTTTCAGATTGTTTTCATAATGTAAGGCTGGAGCTATAATAAAGACTCCGAGATGTAAATAATTCACAATGATCATTCGGAGGGGTCATCGGTCGGAGGGCTGGTTGGTCTATCTATTGGTTGGACTACCACCAGTCAATCTCTTGGGGTGGACCGAACGCGGGGATGTTAAACTGTACTTACTCTTCAACATGACCGTCGATACTGAAGTACTGACCATCACCTCCAAACTGAACTGACTTGAGATCATCCCAGGGAGATGAAATCAAGCGGGTCTGTGTGAACCAACTCCCGATGTCGGAGCCGGCTCCATCGAAGATCAACTCGGCTCTCACAATTGCGCCTTCATACAGGGAAAGCTTCACCTTAGCAGAAAAAGAAGAGTGTAAAATGTGTCAACATTTTTAATTGCAAGATTTATAGCTCCTAGTTTGCATTCATAATATTAACCAACTATAGTGCAGCGTGGCTTCAATCCTGCTAGATTGGACGATGAGGTCACTAGAAAAAGAAATCTAGTATTTCGTATTTTTCCTTGTTCGCAGTGGCAAGCGGCGGACCCTTCATTTCGTCATCCTGACATACTTACTCGTCGGACATTCAGCAGTCCGTTGTGCCAGGCTTGGTAGAGGCAATTATCACGGCGATGGCCACTCGCCTCATAACTCGAGGTCCAGTCCACTCTGGTCCACATGTCATGCAGCTTCGCTCCAGTTCCTGCCACGCCTTTGAACACCAGTCGCCACTCTCGGTCTGTATAATAGGTAAGAGAGTATTTCCCCTTTTTATTTCTCCGTGAGGAAACCAGACTTCAACACACCTACACCAACAAAATAAATCAACTTTCACAAGTCGCCAGAACGTTTTTTTGACAAGTAACAAGAATATCATTTAGTCAGATTTTCTGGTCAAAATGGGGTTACCATTATGTAACCTGTGACTTCACTGATACCAACAGGAAACCGACAGGAAACAAAAACGTTTAAGTACATTTTGCATGTTATTTGGCCCGTCACATTTTAAAAGATACACATGCAGTGCACAAGAGAACAGTTTGCTGAACGTTGGCACACGTCACCACAGCATCCAATTTGTAAACAAATGTCACATGGTCTATAGTCTCTTTTACACCTGACCGACTGACTGACCCAATGAATGACTGTCGGTTGTGAAGTTGAACTGAAATCAAAAGGTTAGTGGACCTAATGTTTCGATCCTATAGTAGAGTCCTGCTATATGATGGAGACGTCAGCACCTCTGACTTTCTTGATTCAGAATTAGACTTGTTAAGTCTCTTTAATACTGACTGCTACTTGTGCATTAGACTGGTAACTTAACTCACTGACTGACTGCCACTTGTAAAAAATCTTAAAATTAATGTGGCCTGACGTTGCGAACTTAGCAAGTTCTTCTTCAGAGGCTAAAACAGAAATGACAGAGGTACAAACATTAACATGGGGGTGCACACAAACATGCAGGGCTGAAAGAAGAAACACAAAAGGAGGATTAGGTGTGAAAGGTGTGGAAAGATGCAGGGGAGGGTGGATGAGAGAACAAAGAAACAAAGGGACAAAGGGAGGGGGCAAACCACAAGGGGTCTTGTGTAAACAGGGGAGGGACCAGAAAGGGGAAGGATCAAAGGTCACAGGGAGTGGGAACGGACAAAAGAGTGTGAGAGTGAAGGGATGATGTGGGGGGGGGAACAGTATTGAGGTGGAAAGGGATGAAAGATGGGGGAAGATGGGTAAACACAAACAAGGAAGACCAGGTGGATTATCTGTAACAGAAGACAATGGAGGAAGAAAAGGATTAGTCATTTCCAAGTTGGATGTTGAGACCATGTGGTTGAATAGTTCGAAGACGATTCATCCACACTTTCTCTCTGCTGAGGCGAACTGAGTCCTTGCGATGGCCAAGAGATTCAATGCCCTGCAAAATCATATCAGAAATGGAGTGGTTAGGCAGGTTGAAGTGATGACCAACAGGGGTGTCTAGTTTCTTGGTGTTGACCGTTGACCGGTGGGCATAGAAACGCTTCTTGAGCGTATTCTTAGTCTCACCTACATACTGCACTCCACAGACCCTGCAAGAAATGAGATATATGACATTAGAGGTGTTACAAGTGATGTTACCAATGGTTCTGTGGGTAGTGACAGAAGAGTGGCCAGAAAAGGAGTCAGACTCCTGGATATGAATCTGGCAGACAACACATCTGGAACTGCACTTGAAAGTACCATGCTGGGTGGGAGGGGATGCAACTAAGGAAGGGACTTCAGCTCGAACAATCAAGTCCCGTAGATTTCGAGGACGCCTGTAAGCCAATGTGGGGCCGTTGGGGATGGCGCGGGCAAGGCGATCTGAAGTGTGGAGGATATGATGATTGTCATTAGTGATTTTGCGAAGGGGAGGGAGATTGGGGTGAAACGTGGTAACCAAGGGAATCATGGGTTTGGCCATGGCATCAGGGGCCTTTCCCGTGAGAGCTAGATTTCTGGGGATAGCTTTAGCTCTGGCAATGGCACGATGAACTTGGCGAGAGCTGTGACCCCTTGCCACCAAGTTGTTCCTCAGTATCTGTGTATGGCGGGAGAAATCGGAATCATTAGAACAAATTCTTCTGAGTCTGAGTGCCTGGCTAAACGCTATGCCAGTTTTGCAGTGCCTGGGGTGACAGCTGGAGGAGTGGAGGTACTGGTGGGTGTCTGTGGGTTTGGAATACAGGTCAGTGGTTAGTGAGTTGCCTTGCTTGCGGACGGTGACATCCAGAAAGTGGGTTTGGTGAGCCGAGAACTCCGATGTGAATTTGATGGTTCTGTGGAAGGAATTGATGTGGTTAGTGAAGGTCAAGAGACTGTCCTCATCACTGGTCCAGATGAAAAAAACATCATCAATATATCTCCACCAGATCCAAGGGCGACATGGGGCCGAGGCAAGAATGCGTTCTTCGAGGTCGCCCATGAAGAGGCAAGCCATCGACGGGGCCATGCGAGTGCCCATTGCAGTGCCGTGTACCTGTAGATAGTGTTCACCAAGGAAGGAAAAATTGTTCTTCGTTAGTATAAGTCTCATGAGGGTGCCAACATCACTGATGGGAGGAGTCGTGTGTCCTGCCTTGGCCAGAGCCAAGGAGCAAGCACGAACACCCTCCTCATGTGGGATGTTGGTGTACAGAGATGAGACGTCGAAAGTCCCAATGATGGCTGTGCTGGGAATCTGGTCCTTGATTCCTTCAAGCTTGCGTAGGAAGTCTGGGGTGTCGTGAATGTATGACGAAATCTGTGGGACAAGGGCTTGTAAAAAATCTTAAAATTAATGTGGCCTGACGTTGCGAACTTAGCAAGTTCTTCTTCAGAGGCTAAAACAGAAATGACAGAGGTACATACATTAACATGGGGGTGCACACAAACATGCAGGGCTGAAAGAAGAAACACAAAAGGAGGATTAGGTGTGAAAGGTGTGGAAAGATGCAGGGGAGGGTGGATGAGAGAACAAAGAAACAAAGGGAGATGGCAAACCACAAGGGGTCTTGTGTAAACAGGGGAGGGACCAGAAAGGGGAAGGATCAAAGGTCACAGGGAGTGGGGACGGACAAAAGAGTGTGAGAGTGAAGGGATGATGTGGAGGGGGGGGGGGGAGAAACAGTATTGAGGTGGAAAGGGATGAAAGATGGGGGAAGATGGGTAAACACAAACAAGGAAGACCAGATGGATTATCTGTAACAGAAGACAATGGAGGAAGAAAAGGATTAATCATTTCCAAGTTGGATGTTGAGACCATGTGGTTGAATAGTTCGAAGACGATTCATCCACACTTTCTCTCTGCTGAGGCGAACTGAGTCCTTGCGATGGCCAAGAGATTCAATGCCCTGCAAAATCATATCAGAAATGGAGTGGTTAGGCAGGTTGAAGTGATGACCAACAGGGGTGTCTAGTTTCTTGGTGTTGACCGTTGACCGGTGGGCATAGAAACGCTTCTTGAGCGTATTCTTAGTCTCACCTACATACTGCACTCCACAGACCCTGCAAGAAATGAGATATATGACATTAGAGGTGTTACAAGTGATGTTACCAATGGTTCTGTGGGTAGTGACAGAAGAGTGGCCAGAAAAGGAGTCAGACTCCTGGATATGAATCTGGCAGACAACACATCTGGAACTACACTTGAAAGTACCATGCTGGGTGGGAGGGGATGCATCTAAGGAAGGGACTTCAGCTCGAACAAACAAGTCCCGTAGATTTCGAGGACGCCTGTAAGCCAATGTGGGGCCGTTGGGGATGGCGCGGGCAAGGCGATCTGAAGTATGGAGGATATGATGATTGTCATTAGTGATTTTGCGAAGGGGAGGGAGATTGGGGTGAAACGTGGTAACCAAGGGAATCATGGGTTTGGCCATGGCATCAGGGGCCTTTCCCGTGAGAGCTAGATTTCTGGGGATAGCTTTAGCTCTGGCAATGGCACGATGAACTTGGCGAGAGCTGTGACCCCTGGCCACCAAGTTGTTCCTCAGTATCTGTGTATGGCGGGAGAAATCGGAATCATTAGAACAAATTCTTCTGAGTCTGAGTGCCTGGCTAAACGCTATGCCAGTTTTGCAGTGCCTGGGGTGACAGCTGGAGGAGTGGAGGTACTGGTGGGTGTCTGTGGGTTTGGAATACAGGTCAGTGGTTAGTGAGTTGCCTTGCTTGCGGACGGTGACATCCAGAAAGTGGGTTTGGTGAGCCGAGAACTCCGATGTGAATTTGATGGTTCTGTGGAAGGAATTGATGTGGTTAGTGAAGGTCGGGCGACATGGGGCCGAGGCAAGAATGCGTTCTTCGAGGTCACCCATGAAGAGGCAAGCCATCGACGGGGCCATGCGAGTGCCCATTGCAGTGCCGTGTACCTGTAGGTAGTGTTCACCAAGGAAGGAAAAATTGTTCTTCGTTAGTATAAGTCTCATGAGGGTGCCAACATCACTGATGGGAGGAGTCGTGTGTCCTGCCTTGGCCAGAGCCAAGGAGCAAGCACGAACACCCTCCTCATGTGGGATGTTGGTGTACAGAGATGAGACGTCGAAAGTCCCAATGATGGCTGTGCTGGGAATCTGGTCCTTGATTCCTTCAAGCTTGCGTAGGAAGTCTGGGGTGTCGTGAATGTATGACGAAATCTGTGGGACAAGGGGTTTGAGAAAACTGTCAATGAACAGGGAGATGCGTTCCGTGGGTGAGCCATTACCGGAGATGATGGGTCTACCGGGGTTGCCAGCCTTGTGAATCTTGGGTAGAAGGTAAAATCTGGCAGTCCTACAATCACAGGGAGAAAGAAATTTGTGAGCTTTCTTGGACAACTGGTTACGTGATCGCATATCGTCAAGTACCTGTTGTATATCTTGACAGAAAGTGCCTGTGGGGTCAGAGTCAAGGCGGGTATAGTTAGTGCGATTATCCAACTGGCGGTGGGCCTCATCAATGTACTGCTGACGATCCATGATGACCACAGCTGAACCTTTATCTGCTGGCTTGATGATGATGTCGGTGCGAGAGCGCAAGGAGTTGAGAGCCAGGCGCTCCTCTCTGGGGAGATTATCATGAGCCCTGTGGGGGAAGTTGTCCGGGTTAGTGACTTGGGAATTGATAACTTGAACGTATGTCTCTATGGCTGGCACACGGTTCTTGGGGGGTACCCATGAACTCTTGACTCGAAAAGGCTCTGGCTCACACGGTTCACTGTCCAGGAAAAACTCACGCAGACGGATTCTACGGTAGTATTCCGTG